TATCTTTGTGCACATGTATGATGCCAGCTAGAGGATATCCCTGGGTCAAAACTTACGTGAACCTAACATTCTGACAGATATTGCCAAATTGTCCTCCAATGAGGGTGAACCAGTTTTCTCTGCCCCAGCAACTCATGAGTGCCTGTTTTTCTCCACCCTCACACAGTGTGCATGATCAGACTGTTGGATTTTTACAGTGAGTTTAAAAATGGTATCTTGTTTCAATTTGTAATTCAGTTGTCAAAAAAGACAGACATGTTTTCATGTTTATTGACTGATTGGCCTTTGCACTTATTCTTCTGTGACTTGTCTGCATCTATCCTTTCTAATTTCTTATTGATTTTTAAAGAAGTTTTTCTAAATTAAGGCAACTGACTTCTTGTCATGTGTATTGCAAATTGTCATTCATCTCTTTTTGACTTTATTTATGGCATCCTTGGGACTTGCTTAAAAAGCCTTTCCCATTTGAGAATCATGAAAGTATTTGCCCATATTTTCCACTTGTATTCTTGAAGGTTTCTTTTTTTTTCTTTTTTTTCTAAAGTTCAGCTTTTTATTGAACACGTTATAAAAGAGATTTAGTCAAAAAGACCAAAGGCCATGTCATCATCAGAGTCCTCGGATTCTTCTTTCTTTGCTTTCACTTTCTTCTCCTCAGCTGGAGCAGCAGCAGTGGAGGGGGCAGGACCTCCTGCCGGTGCAGCACCAGCTGCTGGAGCAGGTCCACCAGCCCCTACATTGCAGATGAGGCTCCCAATATTGACATTGGCCAGGGCCTTTGCAAACAAGCCAGGCCTAAAAGGTTCAACATTTACACCGGCTGCTTTAATGAGGGCCTTGATCTTATACTCCGTGACAGACACCTCATCGTCGCGCAGAATGAGGGCCGAGTAGATGCAGGCGAGCTCGGAGACGGAGGCCACAGCGCGGGCAAGTGTGGGGCTGGCGCTGCCGGACGCAGTGCTAGTCACCGGATGAAGTGAGGGCCTCACCCCAACGCAGCCTTAACTTCCTCGGAAGGACGGAGCACCTTCGCGGCAGCTGAGGAAAGGGACTTGAAGGTTTCTTTCTCCTTTTCTTCTTCTTCTCCTTCCTCCTGTTGTTGTTGTTGTTGTTGTTCCTCCTCCTCGTCCTCCTCCTCCTCTTCCTCTTCTTCCTCCTCTTCCTCCTCTTCTTCCTCCTCCTTCGTCTTTGTCTTATTCTTTTTTGAGGCAGGGCCTCACTGTTGCCCAGGCTAGAGTACTTATGTGACACAATCATAGCTCACTGCAGCCTTGAACTCCTGGGCTCAAGTGATTCTCCTGCCTTAGCCTCCCAAGTAGCTGCGACTGCAGGCACGCACCACCACACCTGGCTTTCTTCTTTCTTTTTAAAATATATTTGCCACCTCCAGAATTTATTTTGATGCAGGGATTGTGGTAGGGCTCAACTTTATTATTTTTTTCAAGGGGCTACACAGTTGTCCCAAAGTCATGTTTGAATAATCCATTTCCTGCTCCCCTA